ATTAAATTCTTTTATATAAAAGAATTTTCAAAATAAACATTTTTCTAAATAAATAATGAAAAAATATTTTAGAAAATATTTTACAAAATGCCTGGCCTGGTTCCAGTGATCAAATTTATTAAATTACATAAAGGGAAAATTCTAACTCTTATAAAAAAGTGTGGATTTTGTTAGAATTTGTGAATGAAAATTGTTTGATTAGTCATCAATAGATACCTTTGACTAAACAGGTGCGATTACTGGTTGGTTATGGGATGAAAAGATGCAACTCAAAACCAACAAACATAACTATTCATGTGAATCATTGCAACCTATTGGAGTAGATGTGTCTATTGGTAAACAAACACTATGTGAACCATTGCAACCAATTGGAGTGGATGTGTCCAGTGTGAAGAGACATATATATGGTTGTGTCCAATGATAAAGGGACACATATATATGATTGTATCCAATGATGAAGAGACACACCCAATCCGAAAAGGCACCTTGCTTAAAAACTACTTTTTAGTTTTTTCCAAATGGTTGCACCCATCCAAAAATGCACCTTGTTGCCTATAAATATCCCCCTTTTGATCATTTACAAATAATTTATTTCATTTTCTTCTCTCTCCCTCTCTAGACTTGAACCAAACCCAAGTGGGTTCAAACCATAGGTTAAGTGATCCGAGCCACTTAGACTCTAATCCAATTTCATCTAGCCATATTAAGATTGGTCCGAACCATTTGGTTCAGATTGCACCCAATTCAACATTTATATAGTATAGATGCATTTTTGAGCTAGAGAGAGTATTACACGGAGGAGGTTCGACGTATCCACGAGTTTGTAGTGCTGCTACTGGTGGATGTAGACCGTTGTATTTTGGGAGATAGATGCCACTGAATCTGTTAGCACCATAGCGAGGCGAATCTGTCTTAAGGATATAGTATCCAATACTAGCATCGGTCTAGGTTCTTTATTTATTATTTATTAATTCATTGCTTTATTTTGCATATTTAATTAAATATATAGTTGCATATTTAATTAATCATTTCTTAGCATATTGTTAATTATCTCATAGCATATTAGTATAAGGGTTGTTATATCTTAAATGTCACATGAAGCATATATATTTTCCAACAGATTCTATATTAAGCATTTATGTTCCCACAGCTCCAACGTTAGCCACCCAAGATACCGTAATATTGATATTAAAAGATCTCACATGTTGGTAAGTCAAAGTGACAAATACCGTAATAATGACAATAATTTGTATGGTGTGATCATATGATGATCTAGTTCAGTGTACTCCAAGCACACTGACACACGCTAACTACCCCAATGATTGAGACAAACCATCCCATGTCATTGAAGTTAAGTATATTACAATCTTATAAAAAGCGTTCAACTTTTATCACTGACCACAAACGATGCCAAAGTGCAAGAAACCTGTGAGCTCAAATCTTATGTGTAAATCCCATTCACACACTTAAGTCACATATAATCCCAACAAGATGAATGGAAGACATCTCATGGAGTTGATTAAAAAATAAAATAAAAAGGTGTTGTTTAAGTCGTCTTTTTTAAATTTTTTTGGTTTTTTTTAAACTGTGTTTTTTCAATTTTTTTTTGTATTATTTTTGTCCGTGGCAAACGACTCATCCGACCACTTTAATGCCCCCACTTGAGTTACAAGCCCACGCTACTAAGCTCAGCAACATTCATGCAAAGGCACAAAGCTTATAAAAGGAATCACATCCTTATATGTTTTCAAAGTGGGAAAAGGAGTAGAATAATTGTGCGACAATTATTATTCTATCTCATTAGCATAATTGTCAAAATCAAACTAACTTAAAGGTACTATGTCTTTTTTATTTTTTATTTTAGTAAGTGAGTTAATGATCTAATGTCAAAATCATATTTTTGTTATACAACTTTTGTTTTCCGAGAATGGTTATAATGTTTATTTGGTATGAATGTCATTTACACGAAAGTGACAGAAATGGAGAAATTTTCACAATTGAGGAAAAAATTAATGGAGAGGATATGATTTCTCGGAAAGATTGAAAACAATCACAAGACCCTGTTAGGTAGGATTTATATCATGCACGTGTCCATAAGGCTAAAGTCTATTGTCAGCTTTAATGCTACGATTCCATGGATTATGCAACTAGTTTGTTACTTTGTAACAAAATAAACCATTATTTGACGGAAGAACTTCTTATTAAGTTTCTTCTTGGAGGTTCGCTAGCAACAACCGCGGCACGAGCACGATTGTTGCTAGATAGTCACCCATCTAAGTAAACGTCGTTAGACTTTTTTCTATTAGTTTTCTTTTTTTTCCCTTCTAAATTAATCATATCACATCGTATTCTTTTATATATATATATATATATTCTAAATTCAACTAGACTTCAGAGTGTGGATATAGAGTCATGCTTGCATTTTCAACTCCAAAGGATCACATGACTAGGAAATTGTCCCCTATGTGAAATTTATTAGGTCTGCATATCCTTTGAATTATTTTTTTTTTATTGCTTCTTAAGAATTTGATTTGTATAGTATCTAGAATTGGAATTGCATTTGAAGTTTTTGAATATCAACAACAATTAATAATTGAAGAACATAAGGTTGACGAGAATGATGACACTCAACTGAGTCAACTCTTCTTCCTGAACCTTCTACCAACCTTTTCATCTATGGTAGCACTGTGTATTTGAAAATACGTTTCACTTCACTTAATAGTCCCCTCTCTTTCATACGTTGCTAATGCTAATGATGGCACTCAACCCCTTTGTCTGTATTGAATGGTAGCTTGAATTTCTCTTTAAGAAAATTTTCATAAAGTAATACCATCGTATAATTTAGATTGAAGAAAAATCATATTAAATTTGGTGTGTTGTCTAATTTTTATTGAAGTGTATTGAATCAAAAAATTAAAAAAAAAATGCCTCCACTTAGTTACAAGCCCGTGCTACTGAGCTCCGCAATATTCATAGGGAGCCTATAAAAGGAATCATATCCTTGTATGTTTTAAATGTTTTAAATGTGAGAAAAGGAATAGAAAATTTGTACTACAATTATTATCTAATCTCATTAGATAGTTGCCAAAATCAAACTGACTTAAAGATACAATGTATTTTTTTATTTTAGTATGTAAGTTAATGATATAATGTCAAAATCATATTTTTGTTATACAACTTTTGTTTTTTTGAGAATAATTATAGTGTTTATTTGGTGTAAATGTCGTTTGTACAAAACTGGCAGAGGTGTTATCTTTATTTCATGATTTATCAAATGTTATATATCTAAATTCTAAAGAGAGGATTCTTTTTTTCCTAAATTTTAAACTCAGAAAGTAACGGTTAAATTTTCAGTGAGGAGATGATTTTGATCCTTAGGTTTCAAATCTGGTTCCAAATTTGATGAGAGAATTACATTGTGGAGGCCATGAAAAGTTATTAAACTACATCTGCAGAGCAATCCCTCTTGCTAGTTTTCTTCTTTTCTCGGAAGTTAATTAAAAAAATGCACGCAATTACAAAACACGCTCCTCATAGATTTCAAACTCTCAACTTTTTCTTTAGAGATAGAGAGATCATGCCACCAGAATTAGTGACCCGATAGTAATCCCGTTAAAAAGTTGTTATTATTAATTAATTAAAATCGTCACCTTTCAATCTACCAAACACAAAACAACCTTTTCTAAACTCCTAACATCCTCAAAATCACATCTAATCATATAAGAAAATTTTGTTCATTTAAAACCATAGAAGCTATCAACAAGAGTGTGAGAGAATTCACAGTGTACAGCACGAGAAAGACAAGTTTGATTTGATACAAAGCATGATATACAAGAACAAAACTCGAGTCCGTCATATCATTAATCTTTGATACAAAGCATGACATGCATGAACAAAACTCGATTACTTTTATATCGTTATTCTTGATTAAAAACCAAATAAAATCACAAGTGATTGAGGAGAAAAGAATAGAAGGAAAAAAAACACAGCATGCAACAAAAAGAGGCATAAATGCATCCATGCATGAAGAAGATCAGTTTCTATCTTCATTACCTCTTTCTCTCTCTATATCTCATCTACTCTTAAAATTTCTATCTTCACTGCCTCTTTTTCTCTCTCTCTCTCTATACCCCATCTACAATCCTAGTATACGTTCGTCTGAACCAGCCAAAACCATGCTTCACAGAACCCTTGACCTTGCCTTCAACAGCATACCATTTATATTTCGCGATTCTCTTTCTTCTCTTTATCTCACTATCGTTGAACCACGACCTCGACTTGCACGTTACCATTGACGAGGGCATCTTCGTCACCGACCTACCTTCATTCTTCCGTCCCCTTCTTACATACGTTTGCAATTCACCCATCCTTCTCTCTCCCAGTGCTTCAACACAGGCTGGCAGAGAGACGGATGGAGAGAGAGTTTACGACACAGGTTGTCAGTGAGAGAGGGAAGTTTAGGGTTTGTTTTGAAAGTCAATGGATGCTTTATATAGGATATGTGAATGTGAGGTTGAATAGGTAGTTGGTATTCTGTTATTTCAGAGAATGGAACACAGTAAGACACGGAACTACAATTTTGGGGACTTGAATTTACTAGGGCAAAAACATTCCTCAGAAGTGATGTGTAACAATATAATTTCACATGTCCGTACAATAAAAATAGGAAATGATAAACTCACCCATTCGGATACCATATTTTGACATATATAATTTCTTCAAGCATAATTATAGAGGTGGCTTCGGAAAAAATAGGGATACGGACTGCACCTATTTCAACTCATATAAAGCTTACCAAGATGAGCCCGGATCCCGGATGCACTGCAGTACAACGTGGGAGCTGTACTGCATCAGATGGCTCACAGCCCACACGTGTGATCATGCACACGTGTGTCATGAGCTATCCAATACAATACCGCACCTGTACCAGTATATGAAAACTCTCAAACACATATTACATTAGAACAGTAAAAGCTTCACACACAAACAAAAACCAGTAGTTAAACTAAATCTCAATCAAGAGACCAAGAATGCCTTGACATGTTTCAGTAAAGCATTTTAAATACTTTGTTTACTACATCAAAATGCCTTGGTAATCTTAGGTTGAATAGCAGATAGAAGTCCAAGGAAGTAGTAGTCTCCATTTTTCAGTAAAGCATTTTTCCAAAATATACATCTAAATATTCAGTGCATCATGCTTTAATACTTTGTTTACTACATCTAAATGGAAATATTTACAGACAAGGAATGGCCAAACGCAAAGGAAAGGAAAGTGTGACCTAATACTAACTGAGTTGTGGAGGTTCATCAATTCCACCATCACATTCCTTTTTACTTCTGGTCTCCCCCGTTTTTTTGGGGTGGTTGTCCATGCGCGAAACCTGTATATTGATCCCAAGATAAGTTGGTTTCAGTAGTTTACATAACAGAGTACATAACTTTAAAAAATAATTGCATAATCCTGACTGTGCACACCCCAAACACGCACACACATACACACACACAGGCAGAGAAAGGGACAGGGAGGGAGGCGATTCCATTTGCAAAGTTTCGGAAGGGGGAAACCGTATCCTATCTATACTTACAATGTATGATTTCCATTCAATTTTGGCATGTTCGTCAGAGACACCAGCAGGCTGACATTGGTTACGGACATGGTAGAATATGTGGATGAGTACAGCAGCATCAAGAGCAGCATATTCAAGCTGCAGAATATTTAAGATATAGTAAAAAATATAAATATAAAATATAAGAGAGCATTTTGGTATCTAAAACCACTATAATGCTTTCAGATGTGTCATCCTCCCTCAAGTATCATACACAATCACTTGGCCCCTTCACTAAAACTTTGGCAATGGTAGATCTTTAAAAGCCACATCACATCTTCAACCAAACATATTTTTAAAGGATTAAAAAGTGCTACCGACAAACCTCGGAGTATGTTGGTCACATTTCAAAAACCAGATCTCAGAATGTATCAGGTCAGTCATACTCAGAAACCTTAGAAGAAAAAATTAATATTTACCATAAACCACATTATTTACCCAAAATCACATATTTCATTTGCATAGCTCAGTTGTGATAATTTAAAGTTCATGGAGTGAATGGTATACCATCGTTGTTTGGAAATTGAGCAGCTTAATCACCTGATATGGAAGATTTAAGGAATCACCTATGTGACCCAAAATTGGGTATGGGTGCTGGGTACGGGTGCATGGCTAATAACCCGTTTAGCAGGAGGGATGAGAAAATGGATGAAAGGGAAGGGCGGAGAAATGGGTGGGACATCCCCAAGGAAGGGAGTGTATCCATCTCTTTTTTTATTTTGTTGGATGGAAGGAAAAGAAATGTAATATTAGAAATTTACCATTAGACACTTAAATATATAAATTAACACATTTAAATGAGGTTAATAATGTTATTGCAATTTTATGCAACAAATATCATTATTTTTACCTTGACAAAAAACACTCACATACCCCTCCCCTCCTCTTTAAAGATGTGGAGGTTATACCATTGGGCTAGAGCCCTTTGGTAACAGATATCATTCTTCTCTCTCCTCTTCCACACACTTTTGGATGGAAGCAAAATGGTGGGCCTGGTGGATTCCTCATCCTTTTTTTTTTTTCCCTAGTTGGCACTCACACACACCCCCCTCCAAGGAATTGTTTGCACCTAGCAGGTCATCCCTCCTCCCATCCTTCTCCTCTCTCTCTCTCTTCATCCTACCAAACAATGGAAGCTTGATCCATCCCTCCTCCCCTCCCTCTCTCTTTCCTTCCCTCCTACCAAAGGTATCATAAGAAAACAGCTTACCCACCTGATATAGAAATTTCTTAGTGGGAATTTTTTTTTTGGTATAAAACAAGTGCTTCATAGACCAAAATATATCAACATTTGGTCCTAATAGCTAACAGACCATCCAAACCACACGGATCATACTGAGAATGTTAATGTGCACATAATTGAACATTTAGCATGTGTGTGTGTGTGTGTGTGTTACATTAATTATAAACAACCTACTTGATTACGACTTAAAGGCCGTTGCTCCCAGTTGCTGTTCCGTCTTGTCTTGTTCAAACCAGCTCCCAGTATTTTCTGGTTCATTAATTAGCATGAAACAACAACAACAACAACAACAACAACAACAACAAAAAAAAAAAAAAAAAAAAAATGTAATATCATCGAGCTGTCATCTAATGGTAATCTTACACCCAAATCCATAGAAAGGAAATAAAATGGGAACTCAACAAAATCTACATATATATGATAGGCAAGAGAGAGGATCCTAAGCGCAGTTAGCCATTATTTATCTAAAACTTCAAATTACCTGCGCAAGTCCAGACAGACCACCCCTAGGTTCTTTGAACATGTTTTGAATATCCAGTAGCATCTCATAATGCTTGAAACACCCAAGCTGTCCATACGAATAAGCTAGCTGCTTCACATCACACTGAAAATTATAGCCTACAAGGTGCAAAAATCACGCAACAGACTAATTTATAAATATCAGTTCATAATCTGAAAAATCAGGAGTTAACACTATAACAGACGGAAATTTCTATCTTTCCTAAAAAAAATTAAAAAACAAAATAAAAAACAGAGGACAGCAAAGGCATGGACTATCATCTGCAGATACAATCAAAAAGAGCTCTACTCAGGATAAACTTAAGAGGACATATAAGTTCAATGGATATCCACATCGAGGAGAGATTTGTCACGGATATCAAGGGCACTGATTGTTCATAACCTAAGTAACTAAAATGTTTTGTAAAAGGGATTTATTTTTTCCTTCTCTTCCTTCTCCCTCATGACAGGAGCCATGAGCTCTCCAACAATCTCAATCCAGTGGTTAAATGTGGAGAGCTCATGGCTCTTGTTATGAGAAAGCTCTCTTGATAGCATTACAAAAAAAATAAATTTTGAACTTAGATGCCCATATTGAGATAAAAGAGTAATCTCCTAAACAATACATTAGATTTTATCATACCAAGCTTTAGAATACTAGGAGAATGTAAAATGCGGCTTAGGCAGTTGTCCAAAATATCAGGCACGTCGTTGAACAACTTTATCAGGTCAAAGATGAAAGCCATCTTTTCGGAAGCAATTTGCATGATAGAAACCTGTAACAGGATAATAAATATATTGTTAACGCAAAGGACAAACGTGAGAACATAAAATATAGCCAAAAATTCTAAGGATCAAAATGGTTGTACTTCCAAATAATGACCATGATGACCACTCCATTAGCCATGAATTACACCAAGAGATGTACCACTTGGGAAGTTGGGAATATAAGCAGTACAGTAAACAATAAACAAAACAGCAGCTTCAAAATGATTTCTTCATGCACAAGTCGCATATGAAACACACGCACACTGAGAGAGAGCATGTGAGAGAAATATATTCTAGGAACTATATATTGTCAAAGTTTAGCAAGATAACTTCATATTTTTCATAAATAGAATAGGGCAAGGGGAAAGGTGTCGATATATAATTATGATCTATGAGTACATGGTTTTATACCGGCACCATAAACAGGAAAGGAGACCGAAAAACCAAGAAATGTAATAAGATCAGTGTTGGGAGGACACAACAAGATGACTTTTGAAAGGCTTCTTTTTTTTTTTGACAAGTTTTTATTAAACGACGCTCAAAAGGGAAGCGATCCCAAAGAAATACAAAGACACCCAAAGAGATACTATAATTTCAAAATAAACTCCAAAAGATGATCTAAAGATTTACAATTTGTCCCATTGACCCAAAAGAATAAAGAAGAAAGTATGTTGTATTTGAGAGACCAAATAGGGGACTCCTCTCCATCAAAGGATCTCCTATTCCTCTCATGCCACAAACCCCACCATAAACAGAGGGGGGTGGCCCTCCACACATCCCTGGCTTGGCTCTCCACCATACACCATCTCCAAGCCTCTAGCAAATCAACCGTGGAAGCGGGAAGCACCCAACAAATACCAAACATAACCAAGAACGTCGACCAAATATTCCTCACCACTGGGCAATGAAGGAGGAGGTGATTCACCGATTCACCTGAATTCTTACACATGAAGCACCAATTGACAGCAATGTGCCTTCTCCTTCTAAGATTATTGATAGTTAGAATGCTTCCTAGGGCAGCCAACCAAGTAAACAACACCACCTTCAAAGGGGCTTTTGTCCTCCAAATAACCTTCCATGGAAAGGCTTGGCCTTGGGTCTCCATCAGGCTCCAGTAGAAGGCCTTAACCTCAAAAATCCCTCTAGGGAAACCCACCCACACCATCTCATCCATGCCCTCACCCTGCACCACCTGACTGGATAGCTCCATTTTAAAGGATATTTCCATTTTAAAAGGTTAGTTTCATTTTAAACCAGATTAAAAAAAATATTCCCTACATCTTGTCATTTCTCCTAATATCTAATTGTGTGCGCGTTCTGTAGTAGATAGGGAGACAGCTCTCCTTGTCCAATTCACTATTAACTTGTGAAATATTGAGAAATTTCATTAGACAAGAAGAGAAAAAAGTACATGCAAAAAAGACATCAAAAGATCAAACAACCACAATTGGAAATGATAAACAAACAAAATCGAACCAATACCTTGTCAGTTTATATTTTGAGATAATTACACTGACCTCCCCTGAGGTTTCGTCAACCTACATTGACCTCCCACCTTGTTTGCCAAATAACAATGACCTCTCCTGTCAAAGCTCTTGGATTGATGGCGTTAACGGTTCTAATGAAATTGCTTTTCTACCATTTTATATCTATATTGTATTTTATTAAAAACACAATGTAATTTGAAAAGAAAAAAATGCCCAAAAACCCCATTAAAGCAGGATACTTGTGAATCTCTGCTTGCCATTCAGTCACCGCCGAATCTCCATCACCGAGCGCCCTCACTTGGCCGCTTCTAAGCCTGTCTCTTCTTCATCGATAATTCCTTGCTCACCGAGCAGCTGCCTGCCAATTCTTTTCCGCTTTCATCGCCGTCATGGAGCTCTCTCCACCGCTCAACTCACCACTGCTGTCTTCACTCCGTTGTTCTCATTGAGCTGCTCCATCCATGCTGGCCGTCGAACTTCATCACCGTCGGCAAGAATCTCTACACCTGATTCGTCATCTTCCTTGCTCACCACCGGCGATCCCAACAAACTTCACGTAGGCGATCCCACTACACTGAAACCATTTTTCATTGACCCATCAAACATAGCTTCACGTGTTATGTTCTCCTCTGCCGGTTCTCTGTCAATCCTTGCTTCCCGACACATTCCCCCAGCCATCCCGTGCGCAACGCCGATTCTTGCTCACGGCTCCATCGCTGATCTGTTCGCTTCACGCTGGAAATCAGTGCCCACCGTGGGATCATCCTCACCGAGTATTGCCTTGCTCGCTAGCACCAGCCGCCTCTTCATCCCAAGTCGTCGTCCTCTTTACCGTTTCGAAGACCAGTCACCATGGGATCTCTCAAAGGTTCCGAAGAGGGAGAGCTCGACGCAGCCGTTTAGAGCGGCGGGTGGTGGTCATCATCGGCGGCGGCGGTTCGAGGAAAGTGGTCAACGTCATCGGTGATTAACCTGTGGAGAAGAAAGGGAAGTGTTTGCCTATCAACTTGTTTACGTTTTGGATTTGATTGAGGAAAGAGAGTAGAGAGAGAAATAGATTGGAGAGAGAATTTGGGAAGAAATAATTATGAGGGTATTTTAGACATTTTAGTTGCTTTATTTACATATCTTTGAGGGGTAGAATGGGAATTTGAAAATAAAAATTTGATGACATCATCATTTTCGGTTAGTAACGGTATTTTCCATTAATGGAGGGGAGGTCCTTGTTATACGTATACAAACCTCGAGGAAGGTCATTGTTATTTGGCAAACATGAAGGGAGGTCAGTGTAGGTTGACGAAACCTCAGGGGAGGTCAATGTGATTATCCCTTATATTTTTTTTTAAGTAATGGTTTCCATCATAGAAGTTAAAAGACCAACTATAATCTACGTAACCTAAAACCTTTAAAAACTACTCACCAAAGAAATCCCCCAAAACAAACCATTACTTGGAAATCATCAATCGAGATTCTAGAAATGGTTTTCATCCGTGGATATGCTAGACTGGTTATTTCCCACTAAGAAAGAAAGAATATAATATAATTTCAAAGAATCCAATTTTATCCTTTCTCGGAAGAGAAATATTAAACTATGTTAATGAAGGTACATGATTTACAACTAAAGGTCTGGAAAAAGAAAATAAAGGAAACGAAAAGAGGTTGTCCACTATGGTTTAATCTTAAGCTAGACATACACTAAGCAAAATTAAGATGCGAAATGGGATAAATATTTCCTATATTCTGAATATAAAACAAAAAGAAGGAACACAAATTAAAAGATGAAGCACCTGGTCTACCCAAAACAAACTAAAAATAAATAAAAATAACAGATAAGTTGGTTTACCTGCAAAATATATTGGCCAAAAAAGCAGGTACACTGGCAATTTTGAGAAAAGATAAACATCTATATGCGTTTGCATTTTCTTCTTTGACATGCATGCATTCTGAATTATTTTTGGGATGATTTGGTAAATTAAATTTCCCGATTCCTTTACGAGAATTACAATGTATCTCAAACAGTGTTATGAGCTGAAGGGGGGAGAGGGGGAGCGGGGAGAAAACTATTATTTTGTTGAACACTTACATTAATGGATCCAGTGGAGCAAATCTAGGGTGAGGAAAAGTTTTGATTGGTAGGTAAACTGGCTAAAGATCAACCAACAAGTACCTTATTTGGTTTGCTGCCCTTTACATAATTAGGCTTCCATTCACAATCAATGCCTATAACTTTGCATCCCTCAATGTGGCGTGTTGCGTCATGTAAACCGTTGACTTCATCAACCCAAACGATGTCTTCCAAAATCAGTTCATCAAGCTGTAGATATCGACTCTGTAGAAGGCTTGCCTCAGGTTCTGTACAACATAAAAAAGTAAAGATTACAAGTATGTTTGTTTGTCAAGTTAATTAGCATATATTTCAGCAAATACTGTTAAAATTCAGAAGTGTAGCAAAATTGTTTGTCGAGTTAACAATTCAATTACTGGCTTCAGCATTAATAACTTTACACATGTACAATGATCCATAGATCTTAGCATCTTGATGTTTACACATGTACAATGATCCAGAGATCTTAGCATCTTGAAGTTCATATTTCTTAAAGAGCAGGTTCAATATTTTCAATAACATTGTCACTAAGAAGCACGGACACTTCTCCTAGGGATGCCACAGCGGTATCGGACACATGTGGACCCGGATAAATGTCCGACACGGCTACAAGTGCCCTGGAATTTGATTTTTTTCCTGGTTGGACACTTTAAGGACAAAAAAAGGCGAATGAATCCTCTCCAATAGTTTCCCTCTCCATGTATCTCGATACTCCAACCCTATATCTAATGGATAAAAAACACCACATCACCATCTTGTTTGGATTAAGTTGGTTATGAACCAAAACATGGTGGGTAGTTATAAAAATGATGAAGTGGCACATTTATGATCGTTAGATGGAGGATTGGAGCCTTGGAGCCTTGGAGATGCTTGTACAGAGAAATAATCGAAGAGGATCCAAATCCCACAAAAACACTTTCAATTTTGTAATTATTTTTCTTAGAAGAATGTGATTCCAATGCAATTTTGAAATATATTATGGGTTAATCAAAAATAATAATATAATTTTTTTAAAAACAGCAAACATCTAGCTCTAAGCTCCAAATTAGTGATTTTATTGATGATAATGTGGATAAAAATGAACAAAAATTATTATTATTTATATATATAATATATTATACTACTATTTTTTGCCATATCCATGTTTTATTTTTTGAGAATTTCCGTATCGTTGTGTCCGTATCCGTGCTTCCTAGCAACATCAAGACAAAATAACAACCATTTGCTGGTTCTTTAATACATCAGGCCTTAAATTGTTTTATTTCCTGCAAGTATCAACCCTCAAACAGCTACCTCATTTCAAACAATTCTTTAGCGTTTAATGTCCCATTATGAAATAAGACTGTTGATAGAGGTTTTGAACATGAGGATTTTGCATCAACATCTGAACAAACATGAACACATCCATGGAATACACAACATTGCTTTAGTTGAAGTTCATCCTTTGCAGTCACTACTCACTTCAAAAACCAATTCCTAGAACTCATTCTTAGCGGTTGATAGTGGCAAGGACCGAGGTAAATAGTAATGTAGAGGGGTGGATTTCTTTCTTTAAGCATATTTATAGAAGGTTAAGTTTCACCTTGTATGGACGCATAATAAACAATGAATTGCATCTCTAACAAGCAACATGTACACCTAGAGAAAGAGTAACAGGTAGCCTACCTTTGATGCTCACAAAACCTTTGAGAGAGTACTTATCACAAAGTTCATCAACCTTCTCTGAGTAACCCGCTTCCATTGCCAAATAAACCTTAATCATGTTTTTCAAAGACAAAAAAAAGAAAAAAAGAAAAAAATAGAAGAAGAAAGTATTAGTTACATATTCTTGTGCAGTCAACATGGTTCTCAAAGGACAAACAGGCTGCAGGTCAACAAGTTTTTTCCGTTTTACCTAAAAAGTATTTTCAAATATCACTTCCACTAATGAAATTCTTGTGATAAATTTCTGAGCGGTACCAAGCCCCTACTTCCCAAAGGGGTCAGGGAGCCTCAATGGAGGCATGTGTGTGTGAATACCAACTAAGAGAAAAAAAAAAAAAAAAAATCTTGTAACAAATTTCTGAGCTCCCCTTTTTTTTTTCATGAACAAATCTACAAAATCCTAAAATAAATAGATTCTACATATAAGCTTATTTACTTCTCTTCATTGCTTAACAATAAGAAAAAAATTATATATTTATGTTTGTCTCAGACAATTTTTCTGAAGGAAAGTTATGCTTGCATCCATTTTAGTTAACACTCAACCAAAATTAAGATGGTAACAAAGCAGTCCCTGAATGGGACAGCCTCAGCCACCCCGTCTCAATTTTGGGATACAGCACAAACTTGACCCTGATCAGAAATAAAATTTCCAGTCCATTCCAATGGCACCCAAGGGGGCAGTTCACCAGACTAAACTGCTTATAAGGCACGTTCATTGAATTTTTCGTTTGATTATTAGTAGCACGTCATTCGTGATATTATTTAAAACACTGATACCATAACAATAGATGTAGAAGTGGTAAAATATTAATAAAACACACTACAATGAGGTTATTCCCAGCTCAAACTCTTTAGTCTAAGCTCAAGGCAATTATCTCCACAAGCATTTCATACGCCAAACTTGGGAGAATTCAACTAAATTAATCAATCAGGTGAAGAAATATTCGCAGATATCCTTTAATGGGGTTTGGATTTTTAATTTTTTTCATAGTTCTGTTGTAAAAAATTAGTTTCAGGCACTACAAGTGCCTTGGAAAAAAGATTGTGGGTGGATCAAACTAAAGAGCACCAAAATAAACACTATTTTACAAGGGCAACTTGTGTTCAGTGTACGATGTTCCTTACCAGGCTTCTTGAATGCATATATTGTTATTAAGTTTCAATGTGAAGAATTTGTGAGAGAAATGATATTTATATGCTCTATCAGTTGTTTAAACTAAAGTCGATCAAAATATCAGTATGATGTCAATTTCAAAATGAATTGACTGAAATGAGCTTTAGGAATTAAAAGACATGCTCGATATTTACAAAACCTTGATTACAGGTTCCAAAACATGAAAATATAGTAATATTTTAACAACACTTAAAATGCAATCATTGAGAAAAGCAATCTCAACAAATCTTAGCAGTTGCAGAAAGCTACCTACCAAATATTCAAGAAGTTGTCTATCACTGTTCGTCTTTGCCTCTGCTACATCCCAGCATCCTTTTTCTGCTAGCTTCTTTAGCGAGCTGCCATTTAGTGGAATACTTTCTGTTACCCATCATGGAATAAATAGAAAATCTTCAAAACTACTAAGAATCCCAGCAAATACAATTTGAAACCAGTGAAATGACCTAAGGGCACCGGTAGCCATCAAAATATACCTTTCTTTACACTTATGATATACTTCTGGAAATTCCTGCCGGAGATTGTTTTTCTTTATAACCTCGTAAGCATACTTTAGCAGATTCTTGTCAACGAATTCCTGAACCAGGACACACAGCATCTGCTTCCCCATAAATGTTGCCCACTTCTCCGCTGCTCTGAACTGTTTGTTTTGCATCATTGTAAGTAAAAATGACTCCCCAGACCCGCGGATAGAGAAATGTTCCAATAGTGTGACTGCTGTCATATATGACTGGGATTTTATCAACTCGAAAATATATTGCTCAACAAATCTTTGCCCAGTTACTAAACTACCATTGTACTTCAGATCTGAATTCCACGTGATTTTCTCAATGTCTGTCAAGTTGACATCAAAAACTTCGAGTATCTTTATGAGAACACCTTCATCATAGATTACACTGCCCTCAACCGTACAGACAAATAACTGAGCAGCGAGAGACTTAGCTTCCAGCAAGTCCTCCAGGGTGGTTCCCAATTTTAGAAAACGACGAAGAGCAGATATTATTAAGTGACTAAAACCTCCAGAATATGCTTCAAATATAGGCAAGACATAGAGGCAGTGAGCAATAAAAATAGCTGGCCCAGGTTGGGGAGCATTACATAGAACTTGATGGACTTGTTGCTGAAGAATACGAAACTTTTTTGTCGCCTTGCACGTACCTACCAGATGCAAAAAATTCAATGACAAAAGTATATGTAAAATATAGTATCTAAACAGAAAATGATCAAATTGAATTTTGACAGTCATCAACAGAATCAATAAGCTGGTACCTCGGATGTATTCTATGCATTCACACTTACATCCGCAATATAAGGTCTAGGAAGTCAAACAATTAATAGCAGTAGAATCTAAGGCATGACTTTAAGTATCTAGTGAAATGAAGATTTGATGTAGGACAGCCTTAAGGTGGATAATCAAACCTGCCCTACTCTCAAATATGTTGAGCTGGGATCCTGGGGCATGAAATTTTAGGGTTTGTGATTGAGAAACTGAGATTTGGATTTATTTTTTTATTATTATTAGTAAAGGTTCATTAAAAGGCACCCAAAGGGGGAGCGCAACCTGAATACAACCGCAAATAAGCCAAAAAACTGCTATACCCTCAAACTATCCACAAAAAACTTAACATCCTCCACAAAATTACAATTCCGACCATGAATTCAAAAGAATAAAGAACTAAGAATAGAGAATTTGAGCACCCCCAAATAGGAACCTCCTCTCAATCAAAGACCTATTCCTCTCCCGCCACAAGCAAAGGGGGGTTGCCCTCCAAGCATCTAAGTTTATTGATATAGGCTGAAGGGAGGTTTGTGGATTTAAGGGTGGAATAAAGGCCGGAACAGTTGCAACTTAAGACTTTTTGGAACAAAGGAAAAGAACCTGTCTTTTGAACAGCAAGCAAAATATCAGAGCTTTAAGTTTGCAAAGGTGGAGTAATATAGAATTGGGGTTTTTCAGACTAACAGTTTAGATGATAAAAATATGCTGACCAACCAAAAATAAATATAAAAATAGGCTGATTCAAAAGCTAGCTACAGTTGCTAATTGTGCACAGTATTGGTGGAAATTAAAAATATAACAAATAAAAGAAAGAAACAGAAGAAGAAGAAGAAGAAGAGATTATCAAAGTCCTAAAATTTTTTATGTTGGTATATATCGGAGTCTTACTTATAAAATAAAAAGTATATATCGGAGTCTCGCCTTCAAATTAATGCAAATACCTAGATGTTTTATTAATTAAAAAAAAAAAAATCATAAGTAAAAAGTAGTAAAATTGTCTCTACAAAACTTCCCTTTTTGAAAGCATAGACACCCCCAATGGCACAAAAGATTTCATGTATCCTACTACACAAAACAGTTTCTAAATTAAAGAAGACTAAACTAATTCTAACCAAGCAAAGAAGTTGACATAATCCATAACCAAAATAAACTACTAACCTGGACACCAAACAGAAAATTAAATTGCTAAATTACCCTTCCTATGGTTTCAACAAAACGTCTACTTGAATAAAATATAATTTATACTAATCAAAAGGTCCAGAAATCCACTGAATTCAACCAGTGACTGGAGCCAGGAATTTATTCTAGGGGAGCAAATTTGACCAATAATAAGATTTTAAAAAAAAAAATTGAACAAAAATAATAAATTTAAGAACTTAATATTGTTTTGATTATATTTCCATTTAAAAAATTTACAATTGTCCTCAATGAACTTTCATATTCTGAAGCATTCATGATAATCAATTGATATTTAGGGTTTTCCTAAAGATTGTGATTCTCCCCTAAAGATAAGAACAGCCAAAGGAGCGTCGTGGAATACAGGGGAAAAGAGGATTAATGGAACAATATGGGTGTCCATATTGAGGATGTGTGTGTGTGTGTGTGTGTGTGTGTGAGAGAGATAGAGAGAGATAGAGAGGGAGAGGGAGAGAAACATGTGTAAATTAAATGGGGGGCTAAAGATTTAGTTTGGGGCATGTTTAAATTTTCAGTTAGTTTTAAAGGCACATGCCCCCCACTAGCCCCATCGCAAATCCATCCTTGAAGTCAACAAAAATGGTTGAAGTGTTGATCTCCATAAAATTCCACTCAACTTGAAAGAACTACTCTTGTGAGGTAGATGCTTGGGTACAATCCAAAGAAGTTCGTGTTGAGCTTTTAAGGTTCATTCTCAATTTCTTAATCCATGTTCTCTGAGAGTGGTCTGGCTAAGTGTTATTCAGTCATATCCATCTTTGGGTTTGGCAATAAGGATTAGATTATTTATATTATCATGGTCATAGAAACCTATCAATTATTCTACCCATCTCTCGTAAAAATCAGGATGTTGTCAATCAGACCAACAAGAAGAAGATAAGCAAACTTAGCATCAATGCCATAACAATGCTTCACATACTCAAGCCCAAAAGTATCATCAAGCTTACAAACTGATGATGTGGCGCCCAACATGGGTGCGGTTGTGTTTTAGCGGACTTGGGTATAACAAGTTTATGTAACTGAAAATATCGATTTCACAATATATAAATTTCAACTCTGTTATCCAGAAATTATGGGTTTCATGATTTTAGTGGATTTGATGTCGTTGTCTATCATAAAAACTAACTAATTTGCGTTTCTACTTTATGGTCACAAGTGCACTTAAATGTTAAATAAATTATAGATTATATATATATTAAAACAACTTTTTAGCATATCAATGTTATAAATGAGAGGGGAAAAAAAACACATATAAACCAATTAAAGCTTCTCATACATGTCTAACATTATTTTTATGGACATTCAAGTGAAAAGAAAAACAAAAAAAATAAAAATTCAAAATTCAAAATACCGATTATTTAGGTATTGAAGACTTTGGATCCAGATTTAGGCACAAATCTTATAAATCATGAGCTTTAAAGGCTTGATCAACCTTTAGCATGTTTCCAGAGGAGAGTATGTCAATTGTAAGAAGCAAAATATGGAAAGGAGGAGGAATGGGCCCTTAAATCCATTGAATTAAAACGCGGTTGCATCAGCTGACGCGAGTGCAATTGCAATGTTGCGACCACAAGGTGCAAATGGAGGTCATGTGATATTATCAGCCATCGCAATCATAAAATTCTGTTAAACCTCACGAATGTTTGTCAAAACGAACTGATATGTAACTTTTTAACTCCAAAATCCAATTAAAACATGTTTTTTATGATTCTTAATAAATTTTGTTGAATATTTTGAAGGTGTTTTGATGATTAATGGCCTATAAATTAAATTTTTAAGGTGAAATAGTTTATGCAGTCTAAGATACAAATGGTATTGCAAATTTATATATTGTTATAGTTTTCCAAATTTTCCTATCATTTTACTAAATTTCTAATTTGTAATCACTTTGTTGTTTAATTTTTGTAAACTACTGGTGTATATGTGTAATATAAAGTACTTATGTATAATACATGTGTATTTGTAGCTTAATATTATACTTAAAACTATTCAATTAAAAAAACCTGAAATAAAAAATTCAAAAATCTAATGGCTAAATCCTGTGTTTTTTGCTTTTGGATTCATAGATCTAAGTTTGTTGATATAGGATGAGAAACTTAATAGAAGGAGAAAAAAATGAGAAAAACAGAAAGAAAAGGTTTACATAGCGAGGTGACTGAAATAACGTCATTGCAACAGTGATGCCGCTATCGTGGCTGAGTTGCACCGAGTTGGTCGCAATTCTCATAATCACCATGATATAAGGTTAACACGGTCGCAATCGCGACAGAGTGATGGAGAACCATATATGGTCCAAGTCTCCAAGAGCTTGATGTGCACGCGTTTTGTATTTACTATTGGAGACGTGAAAAAGATAGATAATTAGAGTTGATTTTTCCATTACTATTATTATTATTATTATATTAGTAATGTTTTGATTTTAGTGATATTTTGGTAATTTAGTGTTTTTGGATTTTATTTATGGTAGTATGGTTTGATTAGGGTTTTCTTTGATGCCTATTTATATGTGGGTCGATAACATTGTTAAGGTGCCTTTTTATGATTAATTATTGAATATACAAAGGTTATTGTGATTTCTTCCTCCTCTATTCTTCTTCTCTTCTCTCTCATTCTCTTTCTTGTTCTCTTTAAAATTGTGATTTCGAAGCACCCTACCCTGTCCGGCATCATGGAGCCACACTGAGTTTTGATTCCTTGTCAAAATCTCACGTGTCGCACTGCCAATACAACATCATATCGGCCAATACGGTACTATATCGTCCATTACAGACTGATACAGTCCCATATCAGCTGATATAATGGAGTCTCCTGTGACTGGTGAGACTGGGTATCAATTCTGACCGATGTCAATATGACTCTACCAATATAGTGTGAATTGTGACTCAGTCAAGCTTAAGTCGGTCTGATTCTAGTAGTCAAAGTTTATAAATTTCCTATTTTTTGTGGTAGTCCTAGGTGAATTATAAACCCAGCAGCCAATATATATCCATGTAATCTTTCAATATAATGAGCGTGTTTCAGATAATCGAAGCTTGCTTAATGTGTGATATAACCTTACCTTAGGGGGTGATGCCAAGCTTGGTTAATGTGTGATATAACCTTGGTCATGTTCACAGCACCAGAATTCCTTATTTCATCATTAAAACACCAACCCCTATCTAGGCATACTAAACCCTAACCCTCTGCCCTACACTTTTTGAACTTCAACTTAGCACCCAAACCCCATATATACAGTTGCTGTCCAGAATTTCTCACAGCCAATTTTCTGAAATTCCAACAAATAGGAATCGATCAAGTTTCATAATAAAGTGATTTCCAACCTTTTTTTGCCTCAGAACCCGATACCCTTTCTTCCAACCTTTTAAACCCTAATTCTGCAAGCTTTTCACAAGCTCAGTCCATAGACACCTTTAGTCCAAGAAACCTGCAAGTTGTTCTATGTTAATTTGGTACTGAATTTGTAAGAAAGTTCTCCCCTGCACTTGTCCTACCTCATCTCTCCTTACTTATCCTCCTCATGAACGGTTGGGTTGATACAGAGAATGTCAGTTCTACATGCTAGGCAGAAATTTTCTCAAGAACACCATAGAAAGCTTGATGAGTCAAAATAATCCAATGAGAATATTTGTCACTCACGGCCCATTTAGATTCCCAACATCATGAAGTACATTTTAACCGTCACATGTACCAGTATTCAACTAACTAGCCTAATAATGTGTTCTTAGATGCAAGTCATTCTAAGTAGAATTACGACACATAATACCTATCCTTAGAAGAAAATTCTTCCAAGTGAAATTACAACACACAATATGCATACATATGTATAATGTGAAGTTTTAAGTCATGGTAATATTATAAAGTATTAGTAAAATCATTGATTGGCTCTATCAAAAACTTCAGTGCCCTGGGGTTGTTCCACAATGAACCCTAGAAGTGGTTATAAAAAATAGACAGCTGCTATAATAAGAGAAACTATAATACCAATTAATTCTAGCTGGTTGTGAAAACCAAACTCTGACCTTAGTAGTTTTTATCTTCAAATTCTTATTAATGTACTAAAAGTCTAAAATCAAAACATTATGGTCTCTTGCTCAACACACATACAGAACAACCAGCACAGAAAGCAGACTCCTCCATATGATTAAAGTACTAACCATTTTGGGATGACATAATCATGCTTGTTAATAATTAAATGACAATGAAAGGAGAGAAAAAAATTACCGTTAAAATAACATTCTTTCAAAAGGTATAGAAAAACTACAGGAGAAACATGAGACAGATCAGAAAAGGCATGCATGTAGATAGCCCATGCTTGGTGAACATTGTCCCTGTTTTCTAGCTCTGCGACACTTCCATCCAAGCCCATAGTAAACAGCCAAGAACCTATACAACATAAAGGAAATCAGCCAATCAAAGAAGCAAGATAAGGAACTTCTCATTTATATAATTACTCCAATTAAAAGTCAATTTTTTTCTTTTAAAGTAAATGCTATCCAAAAACTTACTCCACCTAAAACATTTTTACATAATTAAAAATTTTCAGTTTAAAATAGGCTATCACTCCAGTCTTCACAATCTACCTTCTCTACATTGCTTTTTTCGGCAAGCCTAATATTCTTGAATAATTTTCTATACATGGTAACATAGGTTACAAAAACAAAGATGAAAATACAAACATATAGAAAAGGGCAAAAACTACATATTCAACCTGTTGTATATCATACAACTGTAGTCCTGCTTGTTTGAAAATTAGCTTTAATAATGCGGAAAACCTTGTCTGTTTCAAGAAATGGACCCTCTAATAACTAATAATTAATCATAAAGAATCTTCAACAATTTTCTTAATCCAAATTGCCTTTGCTGTAAAAGGTTACATGGACTCAACTGCAAGTATCAAGTGCAGGTGTGTGTCTTAAGTGTCGAACTTCCCTAAATACCATATCTTAATATACTGGGACTTAGCTTGAAATGTGTCCACAGACTTAAATACCAGTACCGGGACACGTCTTTTACATTTTTAAGTACATAATATGCTATTTAATAGCTCGTAATCGGATAATCTCAAGTTCTCGCCACAAATTGGAAAGATTACAGCTGATGGCCACTCACATCAGGACTCGGATTTTGGTTAGTGTAGCAACCAGTTTTAACGCTTAAGAACTTTCCAAATACAAGAGAATGCAAAACTAGAACTGGACTAGACGAATTTGTCACAAGTTCTTGTGAATCAACAAAAATCCCCCCACCAGTAACCACATTAGTTAGCAGACATTTTTTCATTATCTTCAGGTTTGTTATAAGTGCTTAGAAATACTTCAACAACATTTAAGCAACGAATTAACAAGCCTTCAGTTTCATCCCTGACTGCTTAACAAGCCTCTTATGTAGTTTCTGCTGGCTCCCTTTATATCAGGGCTTTTAATAACTCACAAGAACCATGTAATGATTGACAATGTCACCAGATGTGATCTGGTTTATGGTATCCCACTAGAGTTCAAAATGAAATATCAATAACAATATTATAAGAATGCCAACAGCAATGTCATAACAATGATTACCAAAGGGCTTCTAACCCAATGTTATAACCTCTATTCCCCAAATGGGGAGGTTGAAGGTTCAAGTCCCACTAGGGACACGTGGATGATGGGGGTGTGTGTGTGTGTGTGTTTGCTTTAACTTCATAAAACAGTATTTGACAAGCAATTGTTTTGCAGCTCATCCTTTATGAGTGGCTAATGCATAAAGTAAAGTTTAGTCTGTATAAATCAAAAAACATGCAACTCAAGCAAATTTGTGCCCGATCTATAAATTGTCCCCTAGAGGCATGTGGGTGTGAGAGTTTCATGCCGAGGGAAAAAAAAAATATATATATATATATATATATATATATATATTTCATAAAATGAGCCATTGAATATACACATACAGAAATGTAAATGACATTGCATAAGTGAAATTAATCTGAAAAAAATTCTCCATAAATACACAGGTTCAATATAATTTCATATATGAAAACACAAAAGGTTCCAGAAATTTATATGAACATGTGTGTGCGCGCACAGAAATTTACTGAAAAAAATTAGTTCAAAATATATAGGAAGAGTAAAATATTAGTTAAAGATTGAAATGAACAGTACTAACTAAAGATTGGCATGAAAAAATCTATTCATAATAGAAATCATTCGAAAAGTTTTTAGCAAATATCAGAGAGAGAGAGAGAGACCGAATAGTTGAGCTTACCAAGCTTTAGCGTCGGATTGATGCTGAATAATACTCAGAAGTCTCTCTAAAATGTCTCCCTCTCTCTCTCTAAAATGTCTCCCTCTCTCGAGTGTATGTTGTTGCAATGGTAGAACATTATATATGGATATATGTATATGATTTATTCCCCAAAAGTTTTTTCAAAAATAAAATAATGGATAAATATAATCCACCTTTTCACTCTCTGAAATCTTCTACATTTCTTGAAACAATGTATTGCGGTTTAATGGTTTTATATGAAAGATTTGTATTTGTTGTTGCAGAAAAGAATGAAAAAATCAGAAAAGCCCTAGCTAAAAATCACAAAAGGGGGCAATGCGGCTTGTGTTGGCCCACTCGATCTTTGCCAAAAATAGAAACAATTTTCTCTCTCCTCTCTCTCTCTGTCTACCATGGTACCATCTGTCTCGAACGGTTTTGTATTTTTCCACTCTCCGAATCCCACCTCTCTCTCTCTCTCTCTCTCTAAATCCCTCTCTCTGTGCGTGCTCTGCTATGCTGCGCCGGATGTGATAACGGGATGGGAATGAACCGTGGGCTTTTTGGACATTTTGATCCATTTCGCGCCTCAAAGAAACAAGACTAATAATATAAGCCTATAAGGTAATTGATATTTAATAAGATAACGAATTTAATTGGTTAAACTAATTTTTTCTAATTTTCTAATCAATTGTAGGTCAAAATGAATAGTGCGATTGAATTAGCGGTCCTCTTTGGGTTAGATGAACACAATTGTGGGTCCTACTCGATTCTAAGCAAATTGAGATTTTGATTGTTGCCATTTGATAATCATGAGCGGTGGTGATGTGATACAATATGGATAGCTTCATATTTATCATTGACCGTAGAGGTGCATAGAAGTGGATCTTTTCATTGACAAGTTAAATATCGATACTTTTTAGATATTTATAAATATTTACTCCGTACTTGATACTTTTTGAAAGTATTTATAGTTATAAAATATATTTTTTAATTTCTAATACATTTTTAATAAATTTGATTATTAAAATATAATTTTTTCAACACTAATAACATAGTATAATTATTTTTCAAATAAATAAAATTTATTAAGTAATAACTAGAAAAACTTATTTTATATGTTACAAGGGGAACTCTTATGTTATAATAACTAGTTAGATTCATAATATTACACGAAATTAATAAAAAATTGTAAAAATTATTTTTTTATTTTTATTTTTATTTTATGTCTATCCCGTTGTATTAATATTTTTAATTGTTTTTAAATTTATCCTATCACCTTGTAAAATAAGCCTCAATTCATTTTTTATTATAATAATAATAATACGTTACCTATTTAGCCAAATTGGATAAGGTTTCCTTCTTCCGCCCTAGGATGCCTGCGCAATTGGGTTGGGTGCGTCGCCTAGTCTCTCCCAAGGCAAATTGGATAAGGCTAATAAAATAGGTCAATATCATTGTTCTTAAAAAAGAAACATAAATTATTAATTAATTAATTCACCCTATTTTTTAAATAAAATGACAACTTTCAGTAGTGTATTTATTCATAAAGACACTAACCATTAATGATTAAACCGAGATAATACTTCATCATAAAATAAATATATATAGACATATATATACATATATGTGTATATATAGAATTGAGTTTGCTTCCAAAACGTATACTGCCAAATAACACTTTCTTGTTTATTTTCTCAAAGTAGTAATTTTAGTGATCAATAGCATGTGCCTATAATAAAGTTATTAATTAAAATACTTGTAATTTATAATTTCACTTAAAAATGATTCATATCCTTACACAGTAAATGAATGAATATGTGCGTATGAAATTATTCCCCTATCATAACCTCCTTTTTCGTGTTGTACCAAAATCAGGGACGAACTTATGTACTGACATTCTCCTTAATTATATCATGTACCTCAAATTTTGTTAATATTATAATAATACCCTATGATAAAACATTCTATACATTATGGTTGCCCCCACTAAAATTTTCTCATTTATATAACATTTCCAAATATTTTTTAAAATATATTAGCTTGATAATAATCAAGATGGAAATAATTACCTAAGAATTAACTGAAATGAAAGTATGAGAAATTATTAATTAAAATATCAATTAATATCAATTTTTTATTATGGTATTATGAAATTCTTTTATTTTTTTGTGTTAATTGCCACCCCTGTAAAAAAATATATATATGGTATATCCATTTACCAAAATACAAGTAGCTAGATGCATGTAAGAATATAGGGTTTTATCTAATTATTGCACTGACTACTTATTAGTTTGATGTATTTTTAATTGTGTGATCCATGTAACAAAAATTAGGCTAGAAGATGCAAAGAATATATATTTATATTGAACGAAATGAATAGTCGAATGCTATATATTTTTATTAGATACAACACGTTACGACTGCACTAAGATAAGGGTGGCCACGGATCGAATTGGATTAGACATCAATCCTAATTCAATCTACTCCCAACGAATTAGATAACGGATCGAATTGGATTAGACATCAATCCTAATTCAATCTACTCCCAACGAATTAGATAACGGATCGAATCAGACTGGATCGTGTAATAACATTGGATGATCCATAGATTGAATTTTATCTAAATTATCCATTATTATTCTTATAGTTAATATTATTTATCTTTTAACCATAAGCCCATAGATAAAATTTTAATTTATTAATATTAATTTATATATTTAAATAATTGTTAACTATCCTTATAGTCCATTAAATTATCATTAACTAATTAATATACTCTTTGAAAATATATACTACTTCTGTTCCAAAATAGATGTTTTTTTTTTGGAAGAGTCATTGGATCGGATTCGCGGATTCTTCATCAGTATTAATATATATGAAAAAGACACATATATGTGTGTGTATATATATATATTTATCTTACAGACAAGAAGCGTTAAAAGTTATATTAGTAAATACAGAGACTCATTGGACATGATTTACTATTCCCCATCAGTATTAATATATATATAAAAAAGACATATATATCTGTTTATATTTATAAAGTAAAAAGTGTTACAAGTTAGATTAGTAGATGTAGATAATAAATATCTGACACTTTAAAAAGTACTGAGAGTTAGATTATTAAATACAAATAGTCTACTCAGACCACTTCAAAATTCACTCAAAATAATAACAAACTAGACTGTAGAAGCATCTTATATATATATATATATATACATGAAAAAAGGCATATTCTCCAACTCATTTTTCGTGCTGATTAACATTATGTTGACAATGACATGATTATCTACATGATTGCTATGGATAATGACATCTACAACTACTTTGTTTCCATAAGTTAACTTATAACGTTTGACCGTTTTATGGGTATATTTGTATAATTGGCATATTCTAATTTATATAACACGCGTCAGGAAAGAGTCTTATTAAGGATGAGAGCAATACTAAAAATAATTAAGCGACACGTCAATCTTCTATCTACCGTCGTTTTGGTCGGTGAACTGGACTGTCCTTTTGTGTTATAATAATAATATGTGCAAATAATAATTATTGTGAAGCGGCTTCATGGGCTTGGCCTCAAGCGTCAAGAAGAGGTAACCCTTCCCAAATTTTCTGTAATTTAACTCCAACAACTCAAATTATAAACTTCATTTTCTGTAATTTTATATTTGAGAAATGATACAACTGCCGACCTAATTTTCCGATTTATCCTCCGAATCCTAGGTGACTAGACCATATCAGACACAAAAAATCACAGCTCTTTCTCTCTCCACGATTCCTTCTCAAGCTCTCATCTCAAGCTAGGTGAGATGGTTCGTCGGCGACACAAAAAAATCACAGCTCTTTCTCTCTCCACGATTCCCCTCTCAAGCTAGGCGGGATGGTTCGGCAGCCGGCGAGCAAAAGGACTCTAGGCAGTGAACTGCGGCGTTGAGGAAGAAATGCAGTGGTGGCTCGGAACGGCGGTAGAAATGAATTGCCATGCATGACTTCAAGATGGCTACGACAGTGCCTGGCGAGACGGATCCGGCTTTGGCGATTGCGGCTTGTGCACGCCGAGGTGGAGATGGGCTGGCTGTGACGGTCTCGAACTCGAAAGAACCAAGTCAAATAGTGCGTGCGATTGGTGAGAGCTCTTCGCCGGAAAAACCAGTTTGGGGCTGATCGTCGGCGAGTGGGTCAATTTCTAGGGGTAAGCCGCCACGCTCGAGGAGGGGTGGCTCGACCGAGGAGACTTGGCAGCGAGCTTACGGCAGCTTAGATGGATAGCTTGGACGATGGTGAGGACAGGCTCGCGGTGGGCAACGGGCTGGTTCGGCCCGGCGGCGGCAGTGAACAGCCCGGTAGTGGCGATGGCAGTGAGCAGACGGTGGAGGAACTAGATTGGGCCATCATCAGTCTCCATCGACTTCTTCTAGATGGAGCTTCGATCTGGCGACGGCTTGGCCCGTGAAGTCGACGACAAAGGAAAAGGAAATCACTTGGGACCGACGTTGTGGTCTTGGGGTTTAAAGCTTCGGATCAGGCAAAACTGGGTTGGATTTGTTGTGCGATGTTGTTATCGTGAACGGTTATTTGATGCGGTGAAGTTTCCGGCGGCGCCTCTAAGCAACTCAGAGACGAAATTCTTGGTTGGATGATGATTGGAATTTGATCTCTTTTCTCATACTTAATCTTCATGTACCGGTGCAGAAAGCCAGCGATGGTAGAAACAAAGGGGGAATCGTGGAGAGGGAATGAAGAGAGGGAGAGAGCAGTGTTTTTTTTGTTGCTGACTTGGCCTGGCCACCTAGGATTCGGAGGATAAATCGGAGGATTAAGTCGGCAGATGTATCATTTTTCTTTATATTAATATACATGTGTGTATTATGTATATATATATAAATCTCTCTTTCTCTCTCCCTCTCTACTTGTTTTTCTCCATCCATCCCTCCCTCTATATATGTTACATGATCTCTCTCCCCCTCTAAACTAAGACTTAGAAATTTGAAGGTTTCAATTCTATCTCTCACTCTTACGCTACGACATTATGCTCAAATTCGATTTATAAAATTGAGTTTTTCAAAAAGAGTTGGCCCGAGACTCAGAGTTGAGTTGGGTTAGAGTTGAAGATTTTATATTTCGAAAATTAAGTCCTCAATCTGCCCAAGTTTCAAACATAATATTTAAAAAGAACAATACTTAGAGGAACTCACTCATTACCCCTATGCTATGTTTGGTATGCAGGAATGGAATAGAATGGAATGCAAGTGGGAATGGAATGGAATGGAATTGTCATTCTCATTCTATTGTTTGGTTGTAAATATGAAATGTGTAGGAATGGAATGATAATAACCATTCTAGTGTTTGGTTGGACCAATTTAAAATTTAGAATGGAATAAATTAAAAATTGAATTCTCCAAAATATCCCTCTTAGTAACAAATAAATTAAATTAACAAAATGAGATTCTCTAATAATTTTTTAAAAATAAATGGTGGCAGTGGCGGTGGTGGTGGAGGAAAGCGGTGGTGGTGTTTTAAG